AAATACTCTGCTTCAGAGGAGGCTCTTCTGAAATTTCTAACAGTGGTCAAAGCCTCCAACAAAGCTCTGTAAGGAATTTTGTTTTGGATGTTGTTATTATTATTATTATTATTATTATTATTATTATTATTATTATTATTATTATTATTATTTTAAATGCAACTTAGTTGATGGTGTTTTCTGTATTTTTGAAAAACCTCAACTAGAGCTTTTTTCTTTTTTTTTTAAATAAGGTACAGTGTCTGTTCAGTTTCTCGACTGGTCTGTCCTTCAAGCTCGGGTCCTCTACCAGAGCCATGGGAGCTTGAGGTTCCTGTGCAGTATCTTAGCTGTGCCTAGGACTGCACTCTTTTTGGCAGAGTCCCACAGGATCTTAGCTCGGTCATTCTCCACCACCCTAGGGGGCGTCTCCCATTTTGACCTCGGGACTTCCAGGCCTTTACAACGATGCTCTACGCACATATATTCAGCCCTACCCTTGTCTATGTCTCGAAGAAAAAAAAAAAACCTCTTAGAGAAACCAAGGAAGCGCAAAAAACACCACAGAATTTCCATATAGTGAAACCCCACTTGGTCTATCATGTTGTAAACCAGTGTTAAGAATTGAGCCATTGCTGTTAACATCTTGAATGTGACTGTACAAATTCTATTACTTTCCTCTCTCTCTCTGATTAAGCTCTCAGAGAGTTAAAAAATTAAGTTTGCCCTTTGTGTTATAATCAACATTACTGTTGATTGCATATCCTCAGGCTCTACAGCTGTTGGTGAAGTAAATCACAGTCACTACATTGCATGTGTCAAGACAGTTTACCTCAAGTAACACTTCACAAATAAGAACAGAAGTCTGATCCTCCTTTACTATCTTCTTTTCTCAAAGTCAAGTTCAATTTTCGATTTCCAATTAGAAAACCAGAAATGATGTCATTCAGTAATGCACTTAAGCAGGTTTCCTGAAAGTGGTCCATCAGAAGAAAGGGGGTGATAAAGTAGCCTTAGAGAAGGAAGAAAAGGAAGAAAGAAGAGATAAAACATTTTTCTGCTAGATTAAGAAAATAATAATAATAATGATGGGGTGCATGAAGCCCCAGCATAAGGACTGTGAAGTCCCCGAATAAAAGCAAAAAACCAAAAAGAGAGTTATAAAGAAGTATTATTTGTCCCCTTTTATTTGCTGCATTGTTTTTAATCTATGATTACTGTTGCCTAGCAACAGAATTACTAAATTGGCCACCAGCAGTGTATGCCTGCATCACTTGATACTGAATTACTATCATTAAATCCACCAGCTCCTCACTGTTTTTCATTTATGTAGATGCATATTATTGTTGTTGAGTAAATTTTATTTTTTGTGTTTGCCACAGAGTTAACTATAACAGTTTTCACAACACTTCGAGTCGTTTTGTCTTGTCTTATCCAGACAATATTAAAGTTCCTTTTATGTGACTACATATATCAATGTTTCTTCAGGATGAACTGGTGTAACCTTTCAGAGAGGAGCTGTGAAGCTCTGTCCTCAGTTCTCAGCTCCCAATTCTGTCATCTACGAGAGCTTGAGCTGAGTAACAACAACCTGCAGGATTCAGGAGTGAAATTTCTCTCTGCTGGAGTGAGCAGTCTGAACTGTATATTGGAAACACTAAGGTCAGTTTCAGTCTTTTAAAATTATAACAATGTAAAATCAGTTCGTTGTTCTTTTGAGTCTGAAACGGCTTACTAATGTAAGACTTCAGATATGATGTAAAAATGGCATTATTTAACCCTAAAGATGACATAATCTATCATTTTAATGTTTTCATGTTAGTCTCACATGTCAAGTTTCATTTTGTCTGTCTCTTAATTTCTAATCATTTGGTTGAGTCCTGTGATTTTAAATTAAAGTGCAAGAGTTCTAAATCAACTGGATGCTGACCCAGCCCCTTTCAGAAACAGAAACAGGCAATGGCAAAGGCAAGATCTTTTCAATGAGTCCTCCCATTGTCACAAACTGTTGCTCATAAGAGATTGTGTCAATGTTAACATTGACACAATCTCTAACAATCTGGCTCTAACATTCTGGCTTAACACCACAATCTGTTTAATCATCATACAGAAACTGTGGAATAAACTGCCTTTACATATCAGGACCCCTCCAACACTGGATACTGTTAAATTAAGGTGAATGCATGTACAGAATGAATGTAACTGTATGTGAAAAGGCTGGAATATTTAAAAAAGAAAAAAAAAAAAAAAAACCCACTTTAACACTTTATGGCCGGTCGGAGCAGGTATGCTACGTTTTGCGCAACTACTTTTAAAGTCCGGTAAAATTGCAACCACATAAGCTAGCGCAATTATTATTATTATCTTTTTTTTTTTTTGCATATGAAACTTGAGTAGTTGTACTCACATCTTATGCATTTAGCTTGTCCTAGGTCACAGTTTCCTTCCACATATGGCTTTGCAAGATTTGCATTTGCAGGAAAAAAAAACCATTATATTCCTGTAGGACTTGGTTCTATGGTAGGTCTTAAAGGGTTAAATAACTTTTCCTGTTGTTTTGTGTGTCTGCAGTTTGTCAGGCTGTCTGATCACAGAGGAAGGCTGTAATTCTCTGGCCTCAGCTCTGAACTCCAACCCCTCACATCTGCGAGAGCTGGACCTGAGCTACAATCATCCAGGAGACTCAGGAATGAAGTTGCTGTCGGCTGGACTGAAGAATCCAGGCTGGAGACTGGACACTCTAAGGTATGGCAAGAATGTTCAGTAGAGAAGGAACAGCTGGAAATGTTCCTTTTTATTTCAAACTGACGTTACCTTTGGACAATTTTTTTATTCTTTATGTGTATCTTCAAATGTTTGGCATTTTGCAATTTTTTTTAATGTATTGCACACAATGTGGGTGCCAAATACTATTATTGTTTCCTGCCTAACAATACAATGACAATAAAATAACAATCCTTAGTCTTGAATGATAGTAAAATAACTTTTGCAGACATAGAACCCTACAGAAATATATATTTCCAGTATGGGTCCTTAGGGCGCTGTTGGAATTCTTCTACCGAGTAACCCCAGCCAAATAGGATCTGGGACCTATGGAATTGTCGATACCCAGGAATCCAGACTGATGGCAAAACAACTAGTAGCTCAGTGTTCCAACATTTGGAAGAAGGAACTGCTCTTACGTCTAGAAATTGATGAAGAAATGCTATGGCAAGGGGCAGGTCAGGAGGGAGATACTATCATTACCCATGCAGAAGGAGTGTTGAGTGTTGAGTAACTGATCTAAATGACAGGATCATGGTAAAGTTTGAAACCTGGACCCTCAGTAGCCAGTTAAAAAGTTTAAGTGAAGTACCCTCTGAAGATGCACTAGTTCAGGGGTGTCAAACTCCAGTCCTCAAGGGCCAGCATCCTGCTTGTTTTTGAGATATCCCTGCCCTACCTGCTGCTGATTACCTGAATCAGGTGTGCTTTGCCAATAAGAAGCAACAAAGGCAGGTTAGTTTGAAAACAAGCAGGACAGCGGCCCTCGAGGCCTGGAGTTCGACACCTGTGTACTAGATAATGTGAAAGCAGCATTCTGGACAATTTGAACAGCAACCATGACTGAGACTAATGAGCTGATCTACACCTTAGAGTTGTTCCTGTGCTGGCAAGATTGGTGCCTTTGTGCTATCTTTCAGACCAGATTTGTCTGACCACTGGAAGCATTTCGGGATGTCATCCACTTCCTCTCTCTGCTAGTGGTACATACCGTGCGGAGGCCTGCCCTTCCATGATGGTTCTTCTCCATGCTCCTCTTTGTTCTTAGGTTTCTGCTGCCTGAGGTATTCACTGAGCACACATTGGGTTTTGGCAGTGGTTCTGATGCTCACCAGTCCTTAGCCTTCTTCGTTCTGTGAAACCCTCCATTTATGGTAAAGAGCATCCTTGACTTGATGTCAGTGACTTCTAGTGATGGGTAGATGAGGCCTCGTGAAGCGTTTCAGCACATTCTCCAAACTGTATCGATACTGTGTCGACACAGTGTTGCAGTTTTGCTCAATACTGACCCTGCTGGACCTTAAATATCATTGCAGGCAACTTACTTGAGACACACAACAGACACTGATTCAATGACCTAGTCATACTTGTATACACTGTAAGGTATTGTACTTTCCATGGAATCACTTTATATATCTTTTACATTGCAAATATTGTAGACATCTTTAAAATATTTTGTGAATGACATTAAGTGAAAATTAAAATGAAAGTATTGTGAATGTAATATTACCCATTTAAATGTAATTGACTCAGAGTTTATTATAAATTTCTATTCAGAAAAATGAGTGTATCCAATGTTTTTTCATTCAGTCTATTGCGTGTTTTTTGACACCATTTCCCCAGCTTTGGAAAACACAAGCTCACAGGGCACATATGAAGCTGGGGTACACAAAAACTGTAAAGCCAGGTGGAAAAGGTCCAGATAAGATGTCTTCCTATTCCCCCAGTATGTTAAAGGATCCTCTGATTTTGGAATGTTTCTCTTCAACAATCTCCACAATACTAAGGGGTTGGCAGTCCTTTATAATAAAATTCAGGACTGCCTGGTCCAGAACAATCTTCCTAGATGCTTGATTGCAAAATAATAAAACACACATTAATAAAAAAAAATATTATAATGCTGCTCAATGTCTATATAGGCCAACGTGTTCATTCTCGGTGTGTTTGTCTCCTCATTTTCATGTTTGGCTCTGTAATGCCTAAACATTGAGGAGGTGCTTTTGTTAAGAAAGCGCTACAGAACAGATGCAACATTTAACCTGCATAAAATAAAATAAATTATTTACACTGCAAGTCACATTGCTGTTTTTCCTATTCTGATAGATTACATTGAAACAAAGACAGAAAAACAGTTACCTTATTTGCAGTTACAAGATCGAAATTATCCCACACAGCAGAAACATTTCTTTTTTTTTTTGGTCTCCATTTTGTTGTAGAGACATATGTATTTTTTTTTTCTTCGCGAGAGTAATTTTGTTTTTTGGCGGCGACTCATTCCGTTGGCAGATGTGGATGCGGTACCTTTTAAACACAGTTTGACGTGTTGGCAATGAGCGATAATCCAGCTGTGTCGATCACTTGACTTTTTCTTAAAGCGACACACGCACCAATACAGGTTTCGCTCTGATACATGTGTGTCAGTGTTGCTGGACCCATCACACGTGGCTTCTATCTTGTCCTTTGGCCACCTTATTATCCTAGCAGGGTACCTGATCACTGGCAGGGGGAAAGGTGTTGATGACCGAGATCTTGTTTTTCCCAGTCAGCTGATTCTTGCCTGACTTTGTGCTGGTATTTGGTGATTGCAGCTTTCCTAAAAGCTTAGTTGTGGTACCCATTTGCCTGTGAGATTCCTAAGTACTTGTAGCTGTCCTCAGTATCTGCAATGTTGCCTTCTGGTAGTACAATAACCTTAAATATGACCACCTTCCCTCTCTTTGTTACATCCAACTAAACTTCTTCAGTCTGAATGACAATCCAATGTCTTTGCTGAACATCCTAGTGGTGTGGGTCAGTGAATTGAGCTCTCGTTCACTCTTGGCTGACCACTTAATTTCAGCCACGTAGAGAACGCACCTAATGATTGCTACATTCCTGTTTCAGTAGCCAGTGTTGTTAATAGTCTCTTTGAGGGGTTTCAGGCCTAGGAAGAACAGCAGTGGTGGAAAGACATTTCCTTGATAGATCACACAGATGACAGTGACTTGTGCTTGGCTTGAAGTTGGTCTCGAGTGTTGATTGACAGATTCCCATTGAGTTCCTGATGAAGAATCTTAGTGTCCAGTTCATCTTGTATAGTTCAAGACTTCCAGGTTTCCAATACTTTTAGGAGCCAGGTATGGGCATCGAGTTAATAGTCAATCCAGGTGGTGCGCAGGTTATACTCTCAGGCGACTTCTCTGTCTACCAGAAATTGATGTCTCACTCTTCTGGTGTTACTGACAATTCCTTTCTGTGCCCTGTTCACATATTGAGTCTATTATGTATCTGCTTCTGATCTTAGCCAGGATGTTGCCTGAGAGGAGCTTCTGTGTGGGACTGAGGCAGGTTATTGTCCAATAGTTGGATGGGACCGGTCACTTCCGTGAATCATTGGAAATCCAGACTGTCCAGCCTTTCTGCCATTCAGCCATTCTGGGTGTCTCTCATAGAAAAAGAAGATGAATAGAAAGGTTATGAAGCTTAGAGTGTGAATTAGTCATATCTCATTCATTATAGTGGTGTACTGACAGTGCCAGGATCAGCCCAAACCATCAGCAGTTTGATCCACACATGAATTGAAGTGTACTTGTGAAAATGTTGGACTGTTCCTTTATCAGTGTCTAACAGTATGTGTATGAGAGCCATGTAATGTCCATGTGTGCATACTGACTGTGCTGGTCTGACCCCCTCCTCCTTTCAGGGTGGAGCCTGCTGGAATCCGATGGCTGAGACCAGGTCTGAGGAAGTGTAAGTGTGGTTTTAATGTGATTAATGAAAACAGAGCAGCACACATTCAACCATCTTCATCATTCACATCTCTGATGTCAGGAGTCATCATCAAAGTGTCAATCAATGAACAGATGATGGATCAATAACTGCAGCTGGATTGTGTTTGTTCTCTCCATCAGATTCCTGTCAACTCACAATCGACACAAACACAGTACACACAAACCTCCAACTGTCTGACAACAACAGGAAGGTGACAAATGTGGAGGAGGTTCAGTCATATCCTGATCATCCAGACAGATTTGATTTTTGCCCTCAGTTGCTGTGTAGAAATGGTCTGACTGGTCGCTGTTACTGGGAGGTCGAGTGGAGCGGAGACGTTTTTATATCAGTGAGTTACAGAAGAATCAGAAGGAAAGGAGACAGTAATGACTGTGTGTTTGGATGGAATGAGGAGTCCTGGAATTTGAGCTGCTCTGATTATGGTCCTTGCTCGGTCAGGCACAAAAACAGTGAAACACCCATCATCTCCTCCTCCTCCTCCTTCTCCTCCTCTGTCTCTAACAGAGTAGCAGTGTATGTGGACTGTCCTGCTGGCACTCTGTCCTTCTACAGAGTCTCCTCTGACACTCTGATCCACCTCCACACCTTAAACACCACATTCACTGAACCTCTTTATCCTGGATTTACAGTCTTGTTTCCCGGTTCCTCAGTGTTTGTCTTCTGTGGCGAGTCTAAAGAGTCTGCTCCTGTTAGCGAAAGCTTTGACTGTTGAACAGATAGTTCAGTCTGTACATGTTTCCTTCACTCAGAAACTGCCATGGTCCTGGGTCGGTGGCCCAGTGTTTTGTATTTGTGTTTTTGTATTTTGAATGTCCAATTTGATTTTAAATTGAACACTCAAATTAGGGCTACTGTAAAGTCCAGTTTTTATCATTTAAGGCGCTTGGCAAAGGTAAGACCTATTTTATCCAGGCTGCATTTTGAAACAGTAATCCATGCTTTTATTTCATCTCGTTTCGATTACTGTAATGCTCTGTATTTTGGAGTTAGTCTGTGTCTTCTCTCTCGTCTGCAGCTGGTCCAAAATGCTGCTGCACGACTTTTAACCAGAACTCGTAAAAGAGAGCACAACTACCATCCTCGCTTCACTCCATTGCCTGCCTGTATATCTTGGAGTTCCTTTTAAAATTGTCATGTTTGTTTTTAAATTTTTAAATGGTGTTGCCCCAACTTACCTCTCTGAGCTTCTGCATCCTTACTCACCCCCAAGGTCTCTCAGGTCAGCTGACAAGCTGCTCCTGGAGGTACGCAGGTCCAAGAGAAAGCTCAGAGGGGACAGGGCCTTCTCTATTGCTGCTCCTAATCAGTGTAACAATCTGCCCCAGCACAATAGAAAGACCCCTTAATTGTCCACTTTACTCTTTGGCTTATGACACAGTCTGACCCTGATTTTGATGTTTTAATCTAATGTGATGATTTTATTGTTTTCAATGTAATTCTAAATATCATTTTTTACTATTTTATTATTGTTTTTGCTATTTGTGCTAATTTTATTGTTTTAAATGTCATTTAAATTATCACCATATTTTTTTTCAATATTTTTTCTTTATTTTATATTATTTTCATTTTTTTTTTAACTTGTTCAATATATCATTTCTGGCATGTCAAGTGTAAAGCACTTTGTGTTCAACTATATATATATATAAAAAAAACACCCAGCACGCCCCTGCGGGTGGTTTATCCTTCAAGCTCGGGTCCTCTACCAGAGGCCTGGGAGCTT